GTTTACAATAGCATTGTGGGTCATCGTCTCCTGAAAAATTTTGCGTATCCTTGTTTAAGTTGGTTGAATAAAGTTTCTAAGAGGCGGACAAGAAAACGAAAGTGGGCCCATCGTCATTTTAAACTATTCCTCCCATCATGTTAAAACGGACCTAAAAAGAATTAAATATTAAATAAATATAAATAAAGCTCCTCGCCTTTTTTTTACACCCACATCAACACAGAGTTGGGGAATAAGTAATGGAAATTTAGTCAAATTCCTTCGATATTGCACTTTGCTAAATTTCGTCTGGTAAGCTTCCATATAAATAAATGCAAATCAGAGGATTCGGGCGCATTCATTCAGGCATCGACTGTCATTCATTTGGTTTATTCACGTACACCCGCCGCAATTATGATAATATGATGTGCACATGTCAGACCAAAATTCATACGCCATGTTGCCCATAGCGCAACCAATACACGCACCCCCTCTCACCCACGCACACACACACACACACACACATACACACGGGGGGTATAGCCACACCCACACAGAGACGTTGACGGGCCCTCTCGAGTATGCAACATAATTGAAAGCTGCATGCGTCAACATAATTTTCTGACAACTTTAGTTAAGCATGTAAATTAAGTTAAAAATAACGATGACATTGGTTACATAAGCGCAAATGCATGCACAGTCAGTTGGTGGGTAGGGGGGGGTGGGGGAAGGTTCCGGGTCCTGGGCTCGGGTAGGCGTGGCATGGCATGCAAGTGGGCGTGGCACTCCTTTCTGCTCCTGCTTGCACATTTTTCTTTTGGCTCAGGCTCTGGCACGACTGCTCGTAATTGGAGCGTGGAATATCACTCTTCATGTTATGACATTTTTTCGCCAACAGCGAATTAATTGTACACCGTACGAAATGGGTTACATTTCATTTTAATGTCAACATTATAAAAAGCTTGAAATAATCCATACAGACATGGTTTTCCTGCTATTCAAAATAATTAAAGTTGACAATTCTGTTTAAATTCTGTTTAAATATAGAGAACCTTAAGCATATTTCAGTATAATTTTATACATTTATCGATTTATCTAAATTAGGGCACAATTATTAAATAACTTGAATTTAATATTAAAATCATGAAAAAAACATTCAATTTATCATTTCTAAAATTTAGCGTTAATATAAAATTAGGAAATGTAAAAATTTATATATTAGAATATTTTATTAAATATCTAGAGACTTATGGAAAATTAAAGAAAGGTTTTCAAAGACACGCACAAAAAAACAAATACAATTAATTATTTTTCTATAGATTTTAGAATATTCAAAACAAAATGTCAAACACTTTATGAAGTCTTTCTCTTTTCTGGCAGTGCATTTATCTGGCCTGCAACTGACAAGTATTTGCACGCTGCACGGCGAACATGTGTAGGGGGCGGTGGGGCACCCACCACGATGTTGCGGTAACGGTTGCACCACCCACCACCCACAACCCGCCCCCGCTGGCCACATGCAAAGCAAACCGTTAAGCAGCAACAGCGGCGCGGCATTAGCAAAAATAAAAGGAGCAAAAGGGAGAAACGGCGACGCCAAGGTTACGCGCTACTTGAAAATACGACACACTCAAACACCCAGGACACCCAGCCACCCATCCACCCATCCACCCACTCCCCCACCCATCCACCCACACACCCAACCACCCACTTGGAATACCTGGCCAAGAAGAGGGAGCAAGGACCGTAAATTGCGACTACATCCTGCTCCTTATGCAGAATTTTCTTGGCTCGCTGCACACTGCCCTTTTTGCCATTTCCCATTTCCCATTTTCCCATTTTGCCATTTCGAGGTCGCACATTGGGCGACTTGAGAAGGCCCACTTGCGGGTTAAAGGAGCCACTGGAAAAAGGGAACATTCATGCGCTGAAAATGTAATCAAATATTTGAAATTATTCACAATACTGCTATTGCGAACATGCTCAACAAGTCCAATTCGCAGGATAATAAGCAGAGAAACTCATGGAATGTTATTATTGTGTGGAATATTTATTTAATAATTTACCTGAGACTTAACAAAATTTGTTTGTAAAATTTGCAATGGAAATGTCTGTCATCATAATTAAATATATTTGAATAGCAGGTAATTCATAAACATAACAACGAAATAAGGCAGTGTTCGTAAAATAACACACACTGGATTTTAGGTGTGTTATTCACATGTTAAATGTAAATTAAACAAGTGAAACAAAATTACTATTATGGCAATTCTATATTATTTACCAAAGAAATAATGTGAAATACAAATCTCTAAGCTTCATTTTTATATGAATAACAAAAACTGTATATTGTTCAACTTATTGATATAATTATTTAATCAATACTTGATGTCCCGAAAATCCACAAATGAAATCTCGACCATATTTCCCAAGTAGTTAACATCTTAACAAAGCTCTTAAGCTGCTCGTTATTAAATCACAGCGAAAACAATTCCATTTGCTCAAATAAATGAGCAGCGAAATTGTAAAGTCATTTACAACCTAAGTTGACATTATGGCCAATAAAGCTTTCGGCATCAGCAGATTATCTATAAATCTGCGGTCGAATATCTCTCGCCCTCCGCTTCATTATCGTTATCATCAGAAGGAGTGCCGAGTTTTCCCCTCGCATGGGGGAAACTTTTTGTCTCTTTTCCCGGGAAAAGGAAAATTGGTAGCTGGCAGTAAGGAGCGAGATGCGAGATGGGGAAATCTGGGGGAACCTTTATTAACGAGAACGCCCACAACGCCCGTAAAGTGCTTCATATTACGCCACTAATTGCATAATTTCGTTGCCATTTTTATTAGAGTCCCGTAGTGAGGGCGGTGGGGGCGTGGCAGGTCCAGCAACTGTCCGACAATACCCCCCCACTTGCTCCCATCCTTCTCACTTTCCGTGCCATTTACGTTCGACAGGCGACTGGGAAAACGGAGACTACTAAACGCGGACATCGACAGCGACGGGTAAATGTAGTGGCCCGTAAAAAAAAATAGGGAGAAACCGAGAACGAGAACGAGAACGAGAACGAGAACTGTCGCCCACAATTGCCATTAGATTATTATAAAACGGGACTATTTATTGCATAACATGTACATGGAAAAGAATGTAATGTCTCTGAATTGTCAGCGCTTTCAGAACGCTTCGCCACGGTTCAATGGGAGTCAAAACGCTTCAGGGATGCGACTCGGATATCGGGGAAAATATCGGGGGAAATAAATAAAGCCAATTAAAGGTTTTACAATTCTAAGACAACAGCTTTATTAAATATATCTTATTTCAAAAGCTGCATTTTCTAGATCACTTAAAACGAAAGTTATTTAGCAAATAGCATTACACGAATATTATAAAACCAGTATTTATAATATTAAATCATGCCAAAAAAAAGTTCAATTTTATAGCTCATTATACTGTTTCACATTTAATTCAATATGTACAACATGTACCACTTAAATAAAAATTTCACAGATTCGTTTTTGGGAATTATTTATGCGAAGCGAAATTATATAAAGTATGATTTTTGTGTTTTGTCAGTGCACTTTCGTCCCAATTTTAACTTTATTTTTGGGCAAAATAGAAAAGAATGGATAATATTTTCAAGATATGTAAGATATAAATTTATTAATCGAATTTAAGTTACGGGTTACCTGTTTTTTCCATTAATTGTCCTTGTATATAACGAAAGAAATACTTTGTGAACCAAATATTCAGTATTATATTTCTTAAACAAGGAAAATAAGTCTACATCTTCAAGGTGATCTAACTACAAAATGTACCAAATAGGTCAAATCAATGACCATATGCACCTTTAAGTCAATGCTTTTTAAATAAATAAATTAGTATTTATATATATAGTAGCATATTATAATAGTAAAGTATATTAGTGTATATACCATAAATGTCCGACAAGAAGAAGTGCTTTTATTTTAAATTATTCTAGAAAATAGTCCCAAGAAAATTAGTATTTAATTCTTAATAGAAAATATTTGAGTGCTCAATGCAATGGGTGAAAACCCATCTCTAGCAGACATGTAGTCGCCATGGCCGCAACAACTTGAACCGGAATAAATGGGGCTGGGGGTTTCGTAATGCATTCCAGGGGAATGGGTGTGGGAATGGGTGTGGGAACGGGTGTGGGAACGGGTGTGGGAATGGGTGGACTCCAGTCCCAGCCGATTGAGCAGCACTTTTGTGCTCGGCAGTGGACTCGTAGTATATCCACGATGGCTCCATAACAATCCCGGTCCTCCCAGCGAAGGTGAACCGAATGGTAATCCGCGTGACAGTAACCCCAAATCACACCACCGCCCATTTGGGGCGGGGCTGGGTGCTTATGTCCGGTCCAGCATGCCCGTCACAGATTTCAACGGACAGATTTAATGGGTGCAAATTGCCGGTTGCCGTATTATGCTCAAATTGGTATTGTTCTTATTTGCTGTTATTTCCACCGCATTTTCAGGCTTATAATTCACATGTGCATAACAATTTCGTAAGGGTTCATTAACCGGCCGAGAGTTATAGAGGTTGGGGATTTGAGGATTAGTTGGCCGGTTCTTCGAAATTAGAGAAACCATACACTTTGAGCGATTACCAATTACACTTGCTTTTGGGAACTCTGGCCTAATGAAATTGCTTAATTTATCTGACTTCCACCCAATAGAAAAATCCATATTGTGAAATTCGTAGAAGTCCTGTACATTTGCGTCTCGAAAATGGGATTTGCAGCTCTTAAACAGATGCCTTTAGGAAAAACAAATTTTACATTTTACAAAGTAGTTCAAAAGATAGGCTTTGATTACATAACAACATAAGGATCAACATTAAATAAAACAAAAGCATTTTTTAGTGTAAAAATAATAATAATTAAAATAAAATATAACAAAAACAAAGGAGCTCTTATTTCCTTTGAAGGGAAATAAGTTTTTAGTTTGCCCCTTGTTTGCTAGAAAGATTTTATTCAAACAAAGCACTCTGTCCCTGAACATCACAGCTTGATTTCATCACTTTCCACATATACATTACGTCTGGAGCCCAAAGGTAATTATATGCCGCTGCCTTTGTAATTAGATTGTTAACGAATCCATTGGGTATCCAGGTTCCAGGCACCGCATCCACGTCCAGGAAGCCTCCTTCGGCCGCGGAATGGTGGACTACGAGGCGGAGGACCTGCGGGCCTTCGAGAGTCGACTGGCGGAGGTGGTGACCACCGCCGAGAAGCCGAGCTCCTTCCGCTGGCGCCTCGTCCTGGGAGCGATCTTCGCCTGCTCGGCGATCAGCGCCTGCCACTGGTGGCGGGACGCCAAGGTCAGCGAGTCGCTGCTGTTCCGCATCCTCTCCAGCCACAGCGCCTTCGCCTTCTCCCTGGCCACCATGTGCCTGCTCATCATCTACGGCCTCAACCACGCCGCCAAGCAGGACCCCGAAATCCTGCGGGACACCCGCGAGATGCTGTCCCCCTTCCGCCTCAGCTGCGACCACCGGGGTCGCCTCATCCCGATCCCACAGCCATCCACCGAGTAGCTGGACTCCCATCCACGAATCACCCACGAATCACACTCACACTTTGACACAATGTTGCAATGGTTGCCAGTCAAGTGAACTGTCCCGGTAAAAGATCCTTCTGGGAACATGGAACTAAATACTTAACTCACTTTACTCGTTTCACAACTACACAAACACAGCGTCAAATTTCTAACGTTTCAAAAAAAGAACGCTATTTAACGCTATATTCAACATATAGAAAGACCAAAGTTTAGTGTGCAAAAAAAGTTACTCTTTGACCATTTATCTTATTTTTGAAGATTTTTTTTAATTAAGAAAAAAATGTTGAATCAATCAAATTGAACAATAAATTTACTGTAAAATTATGGTAACTTGAATTTTTTTTGTTGCACTGTGTACTATAAGTCAATGCTAAGTATATGTTGAATTGAATCAATCAAATTGAACAATTAATTTACTGTAAAATTATGGTAACTTGATTTTTTTGGTTGCATTATGTACTATAAATCAATGCTAAGTATATGTCATTTTGTTTTAAATGTGACTATCAAAATACAATAATTACCTGTTATTTATTTATTTTCTGATATTTAATTTAGCAAAAAATTCCTTTTGTTTGGGTAATGTAGCAAATATTGTTTCGTTTATAGAATGAATTGCCAGATTTTCGCAGTTTTGGTTGCTTTTAGTCGTTGTTATCTTTCCGCAGCAGCTATACAAAAAAAACAATTCAGCAAAATTCGGGAGGATGAAGAGGGACAGGGATGGCTTGCGGGGGAAAGAGAGGGCGACAGAGTGCGTTGCACGCATATGCAGATACTACGATTACGTATTCAGGAATGCATGGAGTTTAAAAAGTTCCAAGCCCATAAGCCACAATGCCCACGTCTCACCCAGCTTGACATTTATTATCTGGTGCTGCGTCTTTTTCACTGCGCTTACCACCATTTTCCCCTCGCTTTGTATACCCTAGTCGAGGGTATTATCCTTTTTCGAACCCCTTTAATTCACACGTTTTTTGATATATATTTTGTAATTTAAAAAACAATAAAAATATTGCCTGAAAAATGCCATAAGCTAATTATTAAATAGTTTTTAGAGATTGCTTGTGGTAACACAGATTATTTAAACTTGTATAACTTATAATTAGTTTTTCAATAATATATAAAAATGTTATATGTATCAAATCAGAAGGGTTTGGAAATCATTTATAAAGTTTCCCAAAAGTATACAACATATATTTTGGATACGAAAGTCCGAGGGACTTATTGCGGGAGATGACTGTATTTATTTAGTTACTTTCTCTAAGATATTTTTAGAAGTGATTATGATTATGCGTATACAGTATAGGAGTAAATTGTTCATGTACCATTAAACACTTTTATAATAATTTAGTGATTTCAAATCGTAAAAATATGTAAGTATCTAAAAGTGCTTACAATTCAAAGGGATAAAGAAATGGTAATTGCACTTCAATTGTGTGTTTAATAGTTTTAATAAATATTGACTATTTGTCATTTTGAAATACGTTTTTTATTCAGTGATTTGGAGAGGGTATGTCCAATTGTAATCTGAGACGAGTGCGACCCCCACTTTTCCATTTTCCATTTTCCGGACCGGAGCGAGTGAGAGAAGTGTGATGCCGGGCAGGAAGAGAAGTGAGAGCCGGAGCTCGTTTGCGGTCCATGGTCGAGGACGGTCGCCGGACGGAGGCATTTGCATGCCCGGTTGGTTGGCCATCCCATCCCATCCCATCACATCACATCCCATCCTACGTGTTGTGGGCGGGGAAAGAAATGGGGGAGCGGGGGCGGGTGCGGGAGCGGTACCACCGAACCGACATTGGCCTTTTGATTTCGTTAGCGAGATTCGAGACAAACTCACATATTACCGAGTCCGCACACGTTTCTGGGAAATATGCATTTTCCACTAAATGTTTTGTAAATGTTTCCGCTCACAACTTTATAATTAGTTGACGCTGTCACAACGCGGGAGCGGAAGCGGAAGGGCGGAAAAAAGAAAAAGGAAAAACTGGAGCCGAGAAAGCCCAGCGGAAATTATGCAAGTTGAGCGGATTGCCCGAAGCGATACGACAGTGAAGCTCCGGTGGAGCGTCCGGCTCACAAAAGTCTCAAAAGGAGCGAAGAGAACAGTTGCGGTCAAAGTAATAGCACCGACCATTTCTTGTGTTTTTTCCAAATTATTTTCCTCTTGTGCACCTTTTCTAAACTTTTTTAATGAAAAACCTTTAATTCTTTATTTTGTATTTTGTTAAGACAAACCATTCCCAATTAAAACCAACGACTTCTTAATTATTCCTCACAAATTTGATTTCATAAAGTGAAAATTAAAAGCCATTGAAAACATTAGTTATTAGTGTAAATTTAATAAATAAATCAAGGTCAACAGGTTTTTTTTTGTTAGATTTAAATACCATAACGCGTATTGTTCGCTAAAAAAATACAATAATATGGAGCTAATGGGAAGGTTTTAAGTAGAAATCACAAAATCTATCTTATAGCTAGCCAAAATAGGTATTCCGATATTAAATAGACCCGTCAAAGGGTGACTAAATGCTTGATGGACAGAATATAGTTGATATATGCTTTGATTGATTTATATTAATATCTACATATATATATATATATTTATATAATTATATATATCTATTAATCTGAGCACACTAAATGATTATTTCAATAAAAATTTATAAGGCAAAATTTTATAAGCACAATTACCTATGGCTATTGTGATTTTCATACGTGATTATAAAATTTCCATGAAAAATAAGGAAAAATTCATTCTAGGACACTGTACACGAATAAACCTGCTTGGTTTCTGTGTTATTTATCGCCCCCTATCGAAATTATGACCATTTCGGAGACCCTAACCGGATTAGGTACATTGGATCAAGCGAGGAAATAGTTGCAAATAGATGGTTTCCTTCGGAACCTTCGACCCAACAGGTGGGCGTCACCGTAACTTAAATTCCCAGCAGCTTGTGGTGGCGAACCGAGAAATCGCAGACAAATCGCATCGAGTTCAATGCCACGCACAGAGATTGTGGCATAAGTACACCGAAAGAAATTCACATCATTGCTCTAAGTTTACCATTTCTAAGCATAATTTATAAATTCGTTTGCTGAATTATATGTTTATTAAGGGGGCATTTGCATTTCTTTTCATTTTTTCTGAATGCACAACATCTTGAGAATATTGTGATAAAGTTTTAGATCGATCCGAGTAAAGCTTCCGAACTTATGGGCAGTGTAATGTAGGTAAGTTAGCTCGTTTTGTATGGGTGTCCAAAACTTTAAAATGCTCTCCTGCAAAATCTATGGGACGGATCGTTTTGAAATTTTGCACAGTTGTTCTCAACCAAAATTTTTTTAATTTATTATTTTTAGAGCAAACAATATCTCGACGTTTTAGGCGAAAATCGGCATTTTTGACTTTCAAGTGCCTTATACCTCCCCCTTAAATTGTAGTACGCATTTTACATTTATATACTCACACATCTACCTTCTATATGTTTGTCTTGTCATTTGTTATTGTGTCGTCTTAAATTTTATAGAATAATAACAACTTATGCGCATTTTTAGCCAATCTTTTAAAAAATCACTAATTTTTTACTTTAAAAAATATAGTTTTTTCCTATGGGAAAAATTATAAACATTCCACTGGTTTGCACTATATGGAAACACCTTATTATTTATTATATTATTAACGATTTGTAATATTTCAAAGGATTAGGCAGCCTGAATCAGAAAAAGTATTAGATTTAATTGCCTAATGTTTATTAACTGGTGAGAAATATATATATAATTAATTTTAAGTATTTTTTAATTAGATAAAACTTTTTTTTTTATTAGGTGAGCAAGATAAAAGGTTTTCAAAATAGGAAACTATTTTATAAATAAAGTTTCTTGTAATCTTTCGCAGAATCTAATTTGACTATCGTTTTTTGAATGACCTAAGTAATACGATTCGCCAATACTAATTTAATACTAATTATACCATTCGCCTAATCTAAAACTTTTCTTGGTGTACAGATACACAGATATTGGGACGCAGACACAGATTCAGTTCCACTGAGAGACATCCACGAAGCTGTTTAATTAGATTTTCGCTGCGAGATGTGAGCCGCGTGATTGAGTCACAGCTGAGTTTTCCGAGGGAGGGCGGTGGAAAGCGGGGAAAGCTGGGGAAATTGGGGATAAAGACGGGCGTGCTGGGTCTGCATCTTCGGCTCAAATTGAAGTTTTAATTAAAAGGCAACTACTACATTGGGCAATCAAATGCATTCGCCGCACCTGCTTCCACTTGTGAGTCTGCGAAAATCACCCGGAAGAATACCGAAATTCCCAAGCCCTCGGGTTCCCGAAACCCGCAACTTATTAAAAACTGTCCGCATTATGTTAATTAGCCGCAAGACAGGGGAAAAGCGGGTGGGAAAAGTGACAAGCCAAAATGTCGCGGCAAATCAATCAAGATTCCCGGCTTATCCCATGGGAAAGTCCCTGGGAAAACAACAAAAATGGCAACAAATTAACAAAAAAAAAATGGTCATCAAGTGAGAGAGAGAGGGGATGAGGGGGGTAGAAAGAGACAGAAGCCGAGACAGGCTGATTAGCGTAATAGGACGCCGGTATTGCGTCGCCTAATTTTAATGTAAATTCCAAGTTGGCGCCCCGAAGTATGCAGCACAAATTTGATCAAATTTCGTGGGAAAGGGGGAGGGGGAGGGGCGAAGGACCGAGGGCGTGGCAGGTGACAGGACCCCGGGGTCAATGTGTGTGTGTGTGTGTGTGGCACGTGCGAGTGTGTGTTGGTCCCTTTTGGTGTCTGTCCAATTTGAATTTAAATGGCATAGGCCTCAATGCTCCTTGTTTCACCCGATTCACAGGATTCGCTGAAACTCATGACTTTGATTGTTCAAATGCTTAGATATCCATCTTAATATTTAGTTTTTACACAGTTGACAGCATTGTTAAATCAGTTTTATATGTGTTTTCACGTTTTACCAAAGGTCAAACAATAAAAATGATTAGTTGCTCAAATTCGTCATACCAATAGAAATATAAACTTCGGGAATTTTGAAATGTAGTATGATACAAATAAAATAAATCATACAGACTTATGAATGGAATTCTTGTTAGCTTCTTGTTAGTGGATATCGACATAAAAAAGAATGTACAAAATTGTTTGTGTATTATATATAAGAATCAGAGATTAAACATTTAAGGATCGCATCAGTGCGATATTTATATAAATATTACAAAAAATTTAAAATAATCTTTTTAAATAGAATTGCTTCACATTCTCAAGACGAGCCTAGTCAGATTGGGTTTTAACTAAGTTTATATTATAATACATTCAATACACATTTCTTTCCCGAACGGGTGTCCTTTAAGCACCGATTTGATTATGCGTTAATATTAAATTTTTCACTAAAATGGCATTTATGGAGTTCACAATTTGATCTTAGGCGTTCGAAGTCGTCAGTTATTAATCATTAAATTTTAAGTGGCATTACACACAAACATTCCCTGAATGTACATGGCTAATGCTAGTTTTTCTTAACAACCTCAACTTTAACATCTCGCGGGCCCACTTAAAAGACTTCGCCCTGGGCTACACATTTAAAAACAAATTAGAAGCTGGCCACTAATAAGTGCCATAACACTAACAGACCTCCACCCCCAACCCATGGCCACGCCCCCGCCCCCCGTTACGCCCCTTCATGACCCCGGGCGGGTCAAGAGAATGAGGCGCGCATGAAAAGGAAAAAGTTCAAGTGTCGAGCGCAAAATAAATTTCTTCCGCTGCCACGAGAAAAAAACAGAAGCAAAAGCTCAAGTCTGAAAAACACTTTAAGGCATAACCGAAATGGGGAAGCGGAAATGAAACATGAACGGAATTGGCCACGCACTGCAAATACTGTGCTTATGCCATGCATATTGAAATGCGTGAAAATAAAAATTGCGAAATATGTTATAAGGAATTCATAAAATGAAAATAGTTAGACGCCTGACCCTGTGGAAAATAGCCCCATTTGCATAAAGTCGAAAATCTGTTGAGAAAATAATAGAAACATGAACAAAAATAATAGTTTAGCATCAACAAAAAAAAAATTCTAAACTAAATATTTTATGTATTGATTGTGTTCTTAATAAATATTTTTATAATGTAAATCTGCATAATTTTTATAAGCAGATAAGTTAAAATAAAAATTTTTTTTTGAGACAATAAAGGTATTAAAAGTAAATTCTAGTTGATTAGCCATTTTTATTTATTGACGACGAAATATTATGTTGAACGCTCTTATCGTGAGATATTAAAAAAACAATAATTAAATAATAAATTAATTTGTAATTTTGTAACTTTGAAATGTCCAATTAAAAATGTATATATATTAAATCAAAATTCTTGAAATTGTCTTTAAGACCTCTCAAAAGAAAACAAAAAGTTGTTCAAAAGCATATCATAATGCTGCCTAACATTAGGCTCGATTGGCGCATTTTCTTCGACAGATTCAAGTAGAAAACCCGGAAAACCGTAGCCATGATTCGTAGCCAGGAAAATCGAAGCCCGGGACAACAAGGAGCCGCGACATTATTAGCCCTATTCCTCTCAGAATTCCTCAAAGAGGTCCTGCGGAGCGACGCAGAAATGCTGCCAGTGAAACAGACAAGTAAACGAGATGCCGATGCCCCACTTCTCTGCCAAGTTTGCACCAGCAATATTGCAATAGGGGCAGCATCACAAGCAATACACTTAGAAGGAAAACAAAATACTTTGCTCTAGTTTTCTGTATAAAAGCCTGTGTAAAACCATAAAAACATAACATTAAAATAAAACCATTTTTGGTCCTTATTTTCATATAATTCTTTTCTTTATAAGTTTTTAATTTGTTGTTGTATTTGGGTTTCATATTTCATATTATTTTTGGTTCATATTTTAAATTGCTTAAAATTTATAATTATTGTAAAAATTACCCAACTATATTTGTAAGTTAAGGTTTTTTAACTACACATCATTAAACATTTTTTAATTTACATATATATAATATGTACATTAGTTCAAATAACAAACAAAATTGTTTGTCGGGAATACACGAAAAGTCCAATTAAAGTTGATTTTTGGTCCTTGATAACTTTATTTTCAAGAGTAGCTAAATTTCGTTTGTTTTATATGTCCTAATTTTACTTATTTTTGGCAATACAATTAATCCAATACATTAGGAAAACAAACCAATAAGAAATACCGGAAACCGTTCCCATGCATATGGATAATAAAATAGACAAATAGGTAAGGTTCTGATTTTATTCCCTCAAATAAAGAATATTATTTTACTATTTTTGTTATACTTCGTTTGCTTTTGGAGCTCTTAACCTTTTTTCGGAGTGTACTTTCTAGAACAGCAACATTGACAACACCGTGTTTATATGCAACATTGACAACTTGGCGTGACGCGGATGACGCAAAACTAAGTTCGATGTTGCTGCTGTTGCTGCTGATGTTGCTGCTGTTGCTGATGTTGCTGCTGTTGCTGTTGCTGTTGCTGTTGCCGCTGTTACCATAAGCATAAGCATCACCATTACCATTACTGTTGCTGCTGGTGCTGCTCCTTGTGCTTCCCTTGCTCCTGTTTGCGAGAAAGTCATAAAAGTTGTCTGACTCCGGCTTAGCTCAAGGTGAAGGCGGCATCGAGGAATAAACCGCGTGTGTGCTACCCGGGAAAAAAGATGAGAATACTCCGAAAAATAATGCAAAATACAAAGTGCACTGCAAGAATACCACATCTTTCAAGAGACGGATTTCTTATTTCAATAAATATTTTCCCTATTTTTTTAGTTGCCGTGTTATTATTATAATTATTTTCGTGTGTAAAGTTTCTTATTTCAAAGACTAATTTTAAAAATCAACCAATACTTTACCATAGGTAAAAGCAAGCTAAATAACAATTAAAAACATGACCAAGATGCTACGAAAAAGTAAGCGAAAACAAATATGGACTTAAATTTAGTGCATTAGATTAATACCCTCTGTTTAGGGCTTTAATTCCTAAAATTAAGTCCATTATAAAATTCTAAAAATAGTCCTTGACTTGAACTTTTTTTATTTCCCGTTATGTTATGTAATAGACTATTTCCATTTTATGTTATAATTCCCAAGTGTCAGTTCTGCAACTTTCCTTAATATTTTTTCGGGTGCATTCGACGGCAGCTGCTGTGCATATAACTAACTCTGGCTCTAACCTCAGTCACCGCCTCTCCCCTCGATCCCGCCCCTTTTTATAGGGCGTGGTTTGGAGGGGAGCGGGGTGTTGGGTTGCGACTATATTACATTATATGTCAAACGCGTACGCTTTCAATATTGACAGAGAGCGTTCTTGTTGCAGTCGCGGATGAGGATGTGGATGCGGATGCGGATGAGGATGTGGACACGGCACCTTCTCTGGGCTTTACCCCTCACCCCCTCTCACGACCAAAAGCCACATCCTCGTCGGATGACTTGTTGTTGCTGCCGGGCTTGTCATGCTAATGTTAACTTATTTTCGTATTTTTTGGCATTCTGGACTCCTTGCCGCAAGTGTCACTAACCCAACCCCATCGCAAGTTATTTTCAAATAAAGAGAACGCAATTTTGGTCATCACTATATTCGCTGAAATGTGGGCACTTCACCATTATTATTCATCATTATGCCATTATTATTATGTCATTCCCGGAGGGATTCAGAAGGGCTCGCCCAGCGGCTTGATGGTCAGTTCGTGGACCTGGACATGAGGGGGCGTGGCCAGGGCGTACATAATGCCCGCTGCGATGTCATCCGGTTTTAGCATCGGCAGCGTATCGAAACCGGAAGGCAGGATATCCGTATCGGTCACACCTGGAGTGATGCTCTAGAAAATTAAAGAAAAGTATACAAATATGAACCGAAATAGTCCAATAGTTTGGTGATACTTGCAATATTCTACTTGTAACATTTCACAAATTATAAATACATTAAGCTAGTTAATTATACCCGTTACTCATTAGCAAAAAAAAAAAATATAATACTGTTATTAGTAAAATATTAGTTAAAATCAGAAATAATATTTTAAATACTAAAATTAAATATAGAAAATAAAATCTTTTAAGTTTAGTAAGCGAAGTGTTAAAATCAAACAAAAGGCAGTTGAAATATATGGAAATTATTTCAATACCAAAGATCCAAAGTTTCTTTTGGAAATTCTTAAAGGTATTTGCTATTAAGGTATATGTCTTAACAGATTAGGATTCATACTTCAATATCCTTTAAATATTATAAGAAAATGGTTGATTAGTTCTGATGGGCTAATCTTAAAGAGGTATAACCTTATGCTTGAATAATTATTATTTTTAAGCTCTTTGAATAACAAAGTAAAGCTACGGATTTGGGCCACTAATTGACTAATTAAAACTGGATTTCCCACTTACCAATTTTACAGTGTTACCGAAATATAGATTAATCGCTTGGACTCACCGTGACCTTGATCTGGGTCTTGAACCCGCGCAGCTCCTGTCGCAGGACCTCCAGCAAGGCCGTGATCCCGTGCTTGGTCAGCGGGTACATGTTGAGGGCCTGCAGCTCATCGCCCGGCGGATTGATGATCGAGCGACCCGTGAGGCTGTTGATGAGCACCACATGACCGGCCACCTCGCGCTGCTGCATCGAGCGGAAGGCGCGCCGCGTGCAGATGACCACGCCCATCAGGTTCACGTTGAGCACCTGCTGCAGCTGCTCCAGCTCCAGGGTGAGCAGCTGGCCGGGGAACAGGCAGCCGGCGTTGTTCACCAGGATGTCGCAGCCGCCCAGCTGCTCCTCGATCCAGTCGAAGGCGGCCGTCACCGAGTCCAGATCGGCCACATCGCAGTGGATGGCATGGAGGCGGGACTGCAGCTCCGGCGGCAGCTGCTCCTTGATGGCCTCCATGCGGTCCACCCGCCTGGCCAGGCCCACCACGATGACCCCGGCGCCCACCAGCTGACGGGTCACTGCGGCTCCGATCCCAGAACTGGCCCCTGTGACCACGGCCACGCGATCCTGCCAGCGTTCCATCTCTCAACTATCTCAGTTATTGCTCAATTCAGTGGCCCAAGTAGATCCAGCTAACAGGCAGTTCTCCGCGGCACTGACTCGAGATGGCGACCCACGCAGCCACTATATATACCTCGTCGGATCGGCGACCCAACTTGGCCACGCAAATAAATTATTTAGAGGCAACCGCCCCAAGCGCGCAGTTCACACGTGAGTTGAATAATTGAGCCGGGTGGCGGATCTATGGCGCATTTTTAGGGGCAATTAAGACGTTTAGCGGGTCGCCAATATAATAATCACTTTCAAATCGGCCGAGGGCCCAAGAAACTTCCGCATAATAAATCATTTGAATAATCAAGACACTTCAACTAAGAAATTATGACAGTATTCGAACGTATCTATTAAATTAATAAAGCTATTTTAAGTATATAACGTATGTTAGCCTTCAAAAAAATGTTTTCATACTTTAAAATAATTTAAATTTAGAAGACATTAAATCAATATGTGGTACATATAATATAAAGTAGTCAAATAAAAAAGGTTATAATAAGTTGTAGCCATAGTAAATATTGTTTTCGTATATTTATTTAAATGAAATAATCTTTCAGAGATATATAATAGTTTATAATAAAAATACATTTTTAAAGGATTAATTAAAAAAAAAAAAAAAAAAAAAAAGATTGAAATAAATTATAGTCGTAGTAAATATTGTATTCATGTATTAATTTTAAAGAAATAATATTCCGGAAATATATAAGAGATAATAATAAGAACATATTTTTTAGGAAAATCTTACTCCATTTTTACGAAGCAAATATAAGTTATTTTACACAAATTGGCAAGACACTGGAGTACTTGGTAAGGCCCCCGTTCCATTTGGCCTATTTCGATGTAGGCCACGAATTATTTAGTGGCGAAACACTTGATTATTTAGGGGTCAATGTGGAGCAATGCAGCGGTGTCCTAGAAAGGTTCGCCCATGGGCTTGATGGTCAGCTCGTGCACCTGGACGTGGGGGGGCGTGGCCAGGACATACAGGATGGCGTTGGCCACATCCTCCGCCTGCAGCATGGGCAGCCTTTTGTAGGCCAAGGGCACCAGCTCCGTGTCCACCAGTCCCGGACTAATGCTCTGTGGGATAGTGTAGATTAGTCAGAATGCCTGGTCACTTCTGTTCGTACTAAACGTATTAATTACCCCAGCCATAACTTTTTCCCAAAGGCAAAGCCATTAAATCACCCCAAAGAGAGAGACACTAAAATGCAGTAATAAATCTCAAGTTGTGGGCGTGACTCCCATATATTTGATTTTGAAGTATTACCGACAGCTTTAATTTAGCAGTGCAAAGTTTAACCTACCATTTAAATAGTTATTTAATGACTGCTTCAATCCATACCTTTTTTAAACAATTTCGTATTTACTGAATACCTATTAGGATGGCAATTTTAAAGTTCCAAAAAGAATGTTCAGTTTAGTAATTAAAATGTCGATAATGTTTTCAACTATCTCGGAATTCTAGTTTAATACTATCAAAAACCATGATACTTCAAATGATATTCTTATTAAACCGATTATTTGTAGAGTATTCATTAAAAATGATTGTAGCAGGGGAACAATTTGTATATTAGAACATTTTTAAAATAAAATAAAATAATATCTGTGTATAAATATTATTGAGTAATAGCCTTTCTATTTTTCCATCAATTATTTCACCAAGCTTTCGAAATTCCCAATTCTCAAATATTAATGAAAAATTCGAACAATATGCAAGCGATTTGTAAGAAAGTAAGAAGTTTTTTTTTTTATCTACCGTGGAATTGTTAAATTTGACTTATGGAAGTAGTTCGAGTTATAGGGAAATTGGAGTAATTCACGTTTTACCTATGAAGATAAAATTCGAATAACAAGAAAGGAATCAAACTTCGGCAAACCTAAGCTTATATGCCCTTGCAGTTGTTACAAATCGACTACATTTCGATTTCTATGCCTATATTACTAAAAACAATGATGCTATGTCGATTTTGGGCTCCATTTTGCCATCGTTTCTATGGCAGCTATATGATATTGTGTCCGATTTTAATTCAATTAAAACCGTAATTCCATAATATATAAATATTACGAAATTTTAAAGAACATCAAAAACAAGAAAGGAAAGCTAACTTCGGACGGAGCCGAAGTTGATATACCCTTGCAGAATATTCTGTAAATTATTAATTGGATTAATTGGCCAAAAATAAAACTCATAGAAAATCCTAACTTCCTAACTTTAAAAACACCAAAGTTATGGCTTTTCCGATCGTTCAGTTATATGGCAGCTATATGATATAGTCGCCCGATTCGGCTCGTTCCGACTTATATACTACCTGCAATAGAAAGACAACTTTTGGGAAAGTTTCAAGCAGATCGCTTTAAATCTGAGGGACTAGTTTGCGTAGCAATGGACGGACGGATAGACGGACGGACAGACTGACATGGCTAGATCGACTCTCTCAAGAATATATATACATACTTTATAGCAACTGCGTTGCAAACTTTTGACTGAAATTATAGTACCCTCTGCAAGGGTATAAAAATATAGTCGCCAAGCGCTATTGTCATTGAGTTTGGTTTGATTTCTAGAGAGTTCGACCCCGGGAAGTTGGAGTTATGGAAGTTCGGACCCTAAATATATGATAGCCCCACTTGTGTACGTACCGTGACCTTGACCTGGGTCTTGAACTCGCGCATCTCCTGGCGGAAGAGCTCGGTGAGGGCGGTGACCGCGTGCTTGGTGGCCGGGTACATGTTGAGCTCCTGCTGGCTGCCGGGGAGCGGGTTGAAGATGTAGTGGCCCACGATGCTGTTGATGAGCACCACATGGCCGGCGGAGTGGCGCTGTCGCATCGACTCGAAGGCCCGCTGGCTGCAGTGCACCACGCCCATCACGTTCGTCTGCAACACCTGCTGCACCGTGTCCAGCGACATGGTCAGCAGCTGGCCGCCGGTCAGCTTGCCGGCATTGTTGATCAGTATGTCCACGCCGCCCAGCTCCCGCTGCACTGCGTCGAAGGCGGCGTCCACGGAGGCGACATCCGTGACGTCGCACTGCCGGATGTGCAGCTGCGAGCGCCGCTCCTCGGGCAACTCCCGACGCAGCTGCTCCAAGCGCTCCAGGCGGCGGGCCAGGGCCACCACCACCACGCCGGCGGAGACCAGTTTCCGGGCGACCTCCGCCCCGATTCCCGAACTGGCGCCGGTCACCACGGCCACGCGATTCTGCCAACGTTCCATGCCGACGACTTGGAGCCAAATGAAACCTCCAAGGGACTCTGGGACAATCGAAAGCTGCGGATGATCTCTGCCCAGCCTCAATTTCCAAACAGAGGAAAAAGTGCACAATAGCGCCTATAGATTTTGTGTTATTTCACACAGTGCAAAAAATCACTTAAAAGTCTATAAATATCGTGCAATATTAGTATTCTTACTTAATATTTTCACAAACCTATTCATTAAAATAATTTAAAAAAGTGCGCTTTATAATTAAATAGCTACATACAAATTGACAAATTTAAATAAAGAAAATATAGCTTTTAAAAATTACCTGCTGATTGTTAAAACCTCTTAAATTGCTAGTATAGTTCAAGAAAAATGTAGCCACATAACCGGAATTTTTGCACATACAAAAATGGCTAAATTAAGAAAGGTCAGGTAGTGTTATACTTTAAGTCAATATGTTATGTGTAACTTCTGTCATTATAGTAATATCCATATTTAAAACTCTTTTAAAAAATTGCAAGTTATTTAATTTAAATGCAGATTATATGGATTAATACTACCGGTGTAGGTTTTTAACTCTTGCAGACAAAATCAAATCATAAAGTTTAAAGTTTCTGCATTTCTGCCCATTAAGTACACTTTTCGCTTACCGAAATTTTCTAATTTATAGAAGTCGAACAATATATATTATTTTATACTCTACATTTAATTTCATGTGAACTTTATAATTAGAAAACAAGAAAGGAAAGCTAACTTCGGGCGGAGCCGAAGTTGATATACCCTTGCAGAATACTCTGTAAATTATATTCTCCAAAATTATTCATATGATGCATTCTTAATACTCATAAAAAATCCCAACTTCCTAACTTTAAAAACACCAAAGTTATGACATTTCCAATCGTTCAGTTATATGGCAGCTATAGGATATAATCGGCCGATCCTTATGAAATTTGGTAGGTCGGATTGGCTGGCCAAATATAACACCCATAGAAAATGCCGACTTCCTAACTTTACAAACACCAAAGTTATGGCATTTCCGATCAATCAGTTATATGGCAGCTATAGGATATAGTCGGCCGATCCTTATGAAATTCGGCATGTCGGATTGATTAGCCAAATATAAAACCCATAGAAAATCCCAACATTCTAACTTTACAAACACCAAAGTTATGGCATTTCCGATCAATCAGTTATATGGAAGCTATAGGATATAGTCGGCCGATCCTTATGAAATTCGGCATGTCGGATTGATTAGCCAAATACAAAACCCATAGAAAATCCCAACTTCCTAACTTTACAAACACCAAAGTTATGGCATTTCCGATCGTTCAGTTATATGGCAGCTATAGGATATAGTCGGCCGATCCCGGCCGTTCCGACTTATATGCTGCGTGCAAAGGAAAGAAGGGTGTGTGCAAAGTTTCAATTCGATATCTTTAAAACTGAGAGACTAGTTCGCGTAGAAACAGACAGACGGACAGACAGACGGACAGACGGACAGACGGACAGACGGACAGACGGACATGGCTATATCAACTCAGGAGGTGATCCTGATCAAGAATATATATACTTTATAGGGTCGGAGATGTCTCCTTCACTGCGTTGCACACTTTTGACCAAAATTATAATACCCTCTGCAAGGGTATAAAAAAAGAGACTTTAGACTTCAAGATTAAAGCTTTATCCGAAGTCTAATCGTTGAAATAACAATTCCATCTTTAAAATCGGGGCTAAAAAATAATATTACATTATTAAAAGTATTATTTAAAAAACTAAAATATTTTCAAGTGCATTTTCATATCCAATTACGACTGTAGTTGCATAACACGCAAAACCGCAGATTGATACGATCCGATTACAGATCAATAATTCAGACCGCAATTCAATCACAGATGTTCGCCCCAGTTAAAATATTCTTTAGTTTGAAATCTAGACTGAAGCCGGATCAATGAATTCGGTGCATTTAGTTTATTAATGAGAAAAGGTCACAACAAAGATATTTATTTATTTTATCCGTAACATTTAAAAAGAAAACAAATTATTTTGACAGAAGCTTTCGACTAAACTAGGGGAAACATGCCGGTAATAATCATAAATAAATTTGCTAGCTGATTGGATTATTTATTTGATTATTTACCCGGCTGCCACGGGGGCAATAGTATGCCTATTTCGAATTTGCCACTGCCGTAAGTTGTTTGCTCCTGCCCTCCTCTTGAATAACTAAATCGAAGTAGTATGAAGAGGACTCCGTAATGAAATATTGACGGGTCGTATTCGCAACTTTGTCGCAGCTGCAAGCCGGTCCAACAAAAACAAAACGAAAACACAGAAGAAAAACAACAAGCTCGACAGCTGCACAAAAGTTTTTCCTTTGAAATATAAATAAAAATCAATTTGAGGCGCATTTTACAGCGCCGAAACTCAAATATAGAGGGGTTTGAAAAAAATGAGGGGGGGTTCTAGGGATTCAGGGGGGGGTGTGTTCCACATACGCAAGCAAATGTCGGCAATAGTTAACAAATGCCTTAGGGGAAAAGCTGGCGGGGTCTCACTCTTAATATGCACTTGAAAAATAACTCACCCTTTAGTTTAAAATATTTTAAAAATACATTTTTATTATAAATAATAGTATAGCTTACAAAACTAAAGCTAACATTGAAGGGCTTTAAAAAGTATGTATAAATAATAATATTAAGATTTTGATCTTACAATAATATAAGACAAAACAATCATAAACAAATATTTTATAATGGAAGATATTTTTAAAATTAAACTGTCTTTTATTTTTGACCCAGGAATTCTTTGCAATTTAATATAATTTTAAAAATAAATTTGTATTAGAAAACTAAATCTAACATTGAAGGGCTTTAAGGAAGTATGTATAAATAATAAATAATAAATTTAATATTTTGATCTTTTAATAATATAAGACAAAACAATCATAGACAAATATTTTTTATTTTTAAAACTAAACTGCTATTCAACTGATCAATTTCCAGATTATTTTAATCGAAATACGAATTAAGCGCACATTATACTAATCGAATTAAAAGAATTTTTTTTTTGCTGTGCAACGATTTTTGGGGCAGTGATTTCTTGCGATTCCTGTCCCATGGGCACACGTGCTATTTGCTCACGTGTTTATGGAAATTGAGCAACGTATTTCAAGTATTTGGAGGAGCGTCAGCTCAAAGCGCCGTTTATTTGCCGACTTGAGACTCGGAGCTTCGAGACGGGCGAAGGAAAAGGCAAGAAAAATGCGCATGAAAATTTCACTGATTACGTATTTGCCGAGGAGCAGGGAGGCGTGTGGGTGGCTCAAACTTTTCGGCAAACAAGGATCTATTAGTCGCATTAGACTCGGCAGGATGCGCCCCGCACCCGGAGACTCGAGTCTGGGATCTGGAGACCATAGTCTGGCATATGGATTGAATCCTCCACATGTGGTCGTGCCCGTGGTCAGGGTTCAATGCCGAGCATGTGCATATGCACGTGTAGATTTAAAAAAAACAAAGGGAAAGGAAGGTTTTCCTCCGATATGGACACTGCCACTACAGTGAGCTGTCTGAATTATGCAAACAATCGGCGGAGGCGGACGGAGGAACACTGTACTCCATAAGGGAATACCCTAGGTGTCGAAGGCAATCGCCCACTTCCTGCGTTGCACTTTCTGCAAGGAGTTATGTACTCTTTTAAAACTGACATTTAAAAATATGTTTTTAAAAGAAAATCTCAGTTGCATTATGTTGCTTTATGTGAAGTATATTTCTTTGATTTGTTACAGAAAGAAATAAATTTCCTTGAAATCAAAACAAAAGTAAAAACTACAAACTCCTGTTAAATCAATATTTTGGACCATATTGAAAATATACACAATTATTCCTTTTAATTTATGACACAAGAAAATATTAATTTAAAAAAAATAAACTTAGCTCATTTCGATTACTGAAAATTTAAATTTGATTTAATACTAATTTAATACTATTTATTTACAAGAAATAAGAAAGAAAACATAAATGTTATTTTTTTATGATATAATTTATGAAATTGCCTACATAAAAATTCACTGTACTTATTATTTCACTTGAAACTAAGTATAAGCATTTTTGTTTGTTTTTTTTGTTGATATATTTTGTAGCAAACTTGTTGAAATGAGAGTCTCTCTAGTCCGCACTATTTGAAGGGATTTTTTCAGAGACTTTGATTTCGAATCGCATACGTTTTGCCGCTCCAACAGAGACGACTGGAACAGCTGCTGCTGCTGGAGCTCCGGGTCCCGATCCTTGGGTGTCCTCGTCCGTGTCCATGTCCTGCTGCTCCTTGTGCTCCTTGTTGTGTCTTCTGCTCCTGTCGCCGCTGGCCATAATTCAAATTTGCAGTTTTCTATGCTAATTCGTTTGATATCGCTGGAAAGATGGCGACGTCCTCGGATCTGGCCACAGAAAGTGTGCCGGAAATTTATGCAGACCTGGCATATGTGGTATGTGTCCCCTTGAGAAAGGGGTATGCGGAATTTAAATTCGGAATAAGGGATACGAAATGCGGAATACGAAAAGTGGAGTGTGTGGAGACCCGAATTCGAAGGACCAGCAGGCGACAAGTGAAATGTGCATGAAAAGACGCGGCATTTGCATTTGGCCTGACCCTCGAAGGCGTCGCTAGCTGATTTCATTATGCCAATTTGTCTTGGCCTTCTCTTCCGCCTTCCCTTTCCCTTCCCCTTCACCTTCCCGGAATCTCTCAGCATAATTATGTAAGCAGCTGGCGGGGATTCCCATACCCATTTTGGCCCCACCCCGGCATTCGGCCATTTAAGCTGGTTTATGCTCCCAGTTTTATGGCCAAAAGGACAGGCTTTTCCGAGCAACCGACCAGGTGAGTATGCCTGTGGCAACACTTCCTGCGAAATGGCAGCCACTTGGCGTTTCGGCTGTTATGACCACCCATAAACCGGCCAAAATAGCCGCCAATCCAAAGCCTGCAACAATGTTTTGAAAGATGTCCAGGATACAGGATACAGGATACAGGATCTTTGATGCCA